TTGTACTGGGGGCTGTCCTCCGATGGTAAATTTTCTACGAGCTCTGCTTACTCGGCTCTTCTACCTGCTTCAAGTCGTCCTAACAGTGGGCTATGGAAAACAATTTGGAAATGGGAGGGGCCGCAGCGGGTCCGGAATTTCCTATGGCTTGAGGCCCGCGACAGCTTATTGACAAATACAAATCGGCTGCGTCGCCATATGGCTGCGAGTTCGACGTGCACGATATGCTCGGGGGAGGATGAAACGACTTTACATGCACTTTGAGACTGCCCGGAGGCGATGGATACATGGAAGAGGCTGCTGCCCCGCTCTCTATGACCAGAGTTCTTTTCCTTGGACCTTCAGGGATGGATTATGGCGAATTTGTCAGGCGGTCTTTCCTCTATGTTGGAAAATTGGAGCTGTTTATTCGGCCTCACATCGTGGCGTTTATGGCGATGGCGTAACTTGAAACTATTCCAGGGACACGACACTACTGTGGCTAATAGGGTTGGTGAAGTTATTTCGCATGCTGACAAGGTGCGTGGGGCTTTGGAGAGTGGCCGGAAGGTTGGATTAACAGGGTTGCGTGAGACACAATGGATCACCTGGACTTGCCCGGGGATGGATGAGTTGAAGGTTAATACTGATGGAAGTTTTATTCCTGCGACGGGAATGGCGAGTGCTGGGGGTGTCATTCGGGACCACCATGGGAGATGGGTGAGTGGTTTCTTGATGAATATTGGCTTCTGCACGATTATTGGAGCCGAATTATGGGGGTTGTTTCAAGGGTTGATGTTGGCATGGGATGTCGGGGCCCGTAAAATTATTGTGGAAGTCGACAATAAGAGTATCCTTGAGATGGTGCATAATGATAATTATAACGGGCCGCATGGAAGTGTGGTGAAGGGGATTAAGGAGCTTTTGGGTCGCTCTTGGCCTGTGCGGCTTGCTCATGGCTATCGCGAGGCTAATTTTGTGGCGGATTACTTGGCATCCTTGGCGGCTAAGGGCCCGGGTGGTTTTCAGCGGTTGGAGGCCCCTCCGGCGGAGGCGGGGATCTGGTTAAATCATGAAGTGTGCGGCGTGTCTTATCCTAGGAAGGTTATCGTTTAATTAGCGTAGGCTTTGCCTCCCATTATTGTACAAAAAAAAAGAGTCTTATTACCATGCAATTCTTTGTTTGGAAACGATTATATGCAAAAATATATATATTTTAACACTAATTCATGTTTAATGTTTAATTAAAAATAAAATTATGAATAAGTTAGTTCTTAAAGCACTACAAGAAAACACTTCAATTCTAACGAAAAATTCCAACGGCAAAAATTTCTGTTGGAAATTTCAATGATTATTCCAACAAACTTAATTTTATGTTGGAATAAGTGTTGGATGGTTGATGAATTCCAACGGATTTTTTCCGTTGAATAGTTGTAGGAATTTATTTCCATAGGATTTTCCGTTGGATTTTAGCTATTCTAACGGCCGTTTTTCCCACAAATTTTTATACGTAGGAATATCCGTTGGAATAGCTATTCCAATGGAAAATATAAAGAATTCTAACAGAAAATTTCCGTTGGAATGTAGGAGTTTTTTTGTAATGAAGCAATAAAGTTCAAAACGTTCATTTTACGAAGTACATTTAATAAATAAAATTTTCCGAAAATAAAATACTATTTCGATGTATTTTAAATTTTAATATTAAATTTTAATTGGATATATATTTACTGGTCGTGGATAAATTTCTTCCCATCACAAGTTCTCTTTTTTACGAAGACATTTAATGATTTAATAAATAAAGTTTTACCGAAAAAAAAAAAAAATACTATGTCGATGTATTCTAAATTTTAATATTAAATTTTAATTGGATATATATTCTACTTGTCGTGATAAATTTCTTCCCATCATAAGTTCTCCTTTTGCAAGCAACTAAAACCAAATTCAAATAATTCAAAAAGCTGCTCATCAAAATTCGTGAATCTTATCCAATTATTCCCAACAATAATATTCAATACTTAGATATGAGACACATGAAAGTTAAAGTTGTGTTGTATATGATAGATAATATATTTTATTTTTAAATTCATATATATATATATATACTTTAAAATTTAAATGGCATACTAAAAAAAAAAAACATAACTCAATGCATGACATTTTATATAAACTTTTATGCATATTTTTTTTTTAAAGAATTGTTTCATACAATCACTTGTGCAAAGCTAATTAATTAAT